TCATAGTGTTACTCTGCCACGCTCTGAACTGTCTTCCATGGCAGAGTTGCCAGAGTCCAGGCAGAGTGTGCAGCGTTACATGAAGAGCCTTTTCAATACCAGGCTCCTTTGTGGGGAAACAGGGCGATTCACGAGGCGAACNATAACAGTAACTTACCTTTTGATCTCAAAAACGGGCAGTTCATAGTGTTACTCTGCCACGCTCTGAACTGTCTTCCATGGCAGAGTTGCCAGAGTCCAGGCAGAGTGTGCAGCGTTACATGAAGAGCCTTTTCAATACCAGGCTCCTTTGTGGGGAAACAGGGCGATTCACGAGGCGAACGCGAAATAGGCGAAGCAACGCACGTCGATTTTTTTCGCGCAGTATACCTTTTTTTTGGTTTATTTTGTCTTGTTTTCTCCAGTTTCTTTCTTTTTTTTTTCAAAAATAAAAAGTTGTCTTAACAACTTTATATACGTGTTTTCTCTCCGATGATGGATATCAAACTATTAATCATAATCGGGATTTAAATATAACAGAAACATAAACGAAAAAACACGTGCTTTAGTAAAATTTATATATTCAAAATATCATTATTATCCTATTGACTGCAATTTTTTCTTTCCGCATTTTTCTATCCGCATTTTCCCATCCGTATCCGCATCCGTCATTCGCAGGTATCCGGTCCTCGTTTTACAGACACCCGTGTCAAGAGGGGTAGACTACAATGACAACATTTATCTACATAAAAACAAAAACGCCCGTAGAACATGATATCGGGCTGGCCCCAATTCTAGTGATTTGGAGTCAACAAATCCGAGCATATTATTTAAGACTATGTAATCTGGAAGTCGATTGGTGCGAATTAATTCCTCGCCTCATTCTTCTCGCGCGCTGGCGGCTGTGAGACCCTGACTCGTCCTCAGTCTTCTCTTATCATTTGTTAGCGGTCACGAGAGAATAGAGACCTTTAGCATCAGGTTTTTCATGGGAAACCGGAAACCGCAAACCTGGGAATGTCATGTGACCACGGTCTTGCTGTCGCGTTTGCCGTTTAGAGTTCACGTGTGAACGGCAGGAAGGGCTTTCAGCGATAAGTGACTTACGGCAAGGCTTTTTTTGGCTCTAAAAATTGTACAGCCTCACGTTTAAAGGCACGAATCAACTTTCTATATCCACCTGTGATGTGCTACTTAGATTTTTGATCTGGAAGCAATGAGTTATTTATGTTTTTGGGCGAAAAAAGCGAAGCATTTCGAATTACGACAACATGGCGACGCTAAACAATGAACACCTTGCTAAAATTTGAAATCCCGGCAACGTGAAACTGCAAACTCGTAACTGCAAACTGAAAAACCTGATGCTTAAGGTTTCGGCGTCTCTCTTGCGCTTCTCTCGTTTAAAAATTAACAGGAGACTGGGAGACGAATGGGGACGAGTTAGCCTCCCACGCGGGCGTTTTTAGTGGAGCTCGTTTTTCATCCCTCCCCACAAAGAGGGATGAAAAACGAACTCCCCTAAAAACGCCTGCGTGGGAGGCTAGGGACTAGTCAGCCTGTGATCCGCCATATCAAAGTCTTATGAGGGCAAGAATAATTAATTTGAAAAATATTTGACTATTTCTCTCTTCACGTTCGTTGGGTAATTCATCGACCGGTAAAAGTAACCATACGAAATAGATCTGGGAAGAGCTACATGTATTTTTTACCCCTTCACCCCGTTCTTTTCAAAAGGCGTATCTTACGCTCGCCTTCCACCAATGTGGCCCGGGTTCGAATCCTGGCTTCGACGCCATATGTGGGTTGAGTTTGTTGTTGGTTCCCTCCCTTGCTCCGAGAGGTTTTCTCCGGGTACTTCGGTTTTCCCCTCTCCTTGTTGTTGAGCTATTTTGAAAAAATAGCTCATATGTCAGTGGTGTGAGCGTATGTATCTTTGTGGCTTTGTATCTTTGTAACTTTGTATGTTCGGATGTTTGTTGCAAGAGCCAATAAGGTTGAAGGTACTATGAGTTGATGCTTAGGAACCAATGAGATCTTGGCATCTACTTAAACATGACATTGCTAAAGAGCTCTAAAGGTCGAACAAGGGCACTTTGAGACCGCCATCTTGATTCTTGACAATTTTTTCGTCGTATATTACGGCTACAGGTGTTTGGAAACATTATATTAAACATCTTCATGATTCAAACGCTGTGTACAGTGATGCAGCTGTTTAAGGGTTCATATTTTAGTGTGGATGCTATTTCAAGACATTTCTGACCGAATTCAGCTATCGCGAACGGTACTGACGCACGTATTTATGAGTTGTGTTTCACCTGCTTCAAGGTAGAGTATAAAAGATCATATATTTTCAAAGCTCTTCCAGTGAAGCAATAATTGATATTTAGATATGGACTTTAATTTGAAAGTATGCGGCATATAAAATGTGGTTTTACAAGTTTGAAAGGCAGCTTATTTTTTTTAAAGATGCACCGAGTATTGTTAATCCTGTAAACAAGCTTTAAAAATATTATTCTCTCGCTTACAAAGTTAATAAATGTTAGGCTATCAACCTTGACGTTGCATGAAACATAATTTAATTGCAGATGTTGTAATGAAGCCGAGGTGATTTCTTAAAATCGTTGAGAAAATTTTGTAGTAAACAATTTGCGTTTTTTTTACGTACGAATTGTAAAAGGGCCAAAGGCCAACATCTTCACGTGCAAATTGTGTGCATGAGTTATTTTTATAATTGTGTTTACTAGATTAACGTGTGATAACTCGAATTTCCTCACGTACGAACCACGAAAGGGGGCAAAGTCCAACACTTTCACGTGCCAGTTGTGTGACTGTACGTCTCATGCAGATTGGCTTTTTACAATAATAATAGTAACTTGAACGTACGAAGACCTGTTTCGTTTTGTAACCAATGCCTTAAAAAAGGCTCTTTTCTTTTAAGAAGCAATAGCTTTTAAAACATGAAGAAATAAGTTGTTGGAGTTAAGGACTGTTTCACTGAGTAGAATCGCACGTGAAAACCTCGTGAATTGTGATGATGCAACCATCTACCACAATGATAAGAATCCTGGTATTTCTTAACTACTCGAATTCGATGAGTCACATTTTGGCTTAAGAAACTCCGAGGAAACCTTAGAGTTTGCCTTCTAATCAACGTTTGGTGAGTAGATATTTATTTTACTTTAATAATTTGTTGAACTTGCACCAAATGTAACAGGGAAAGACAGAGGAAAGTGAATATATAGCATGAGGATCGACGCAGCTGAGCGTTTCGCGTTTTCATTTATGTACGGCAATACCCAATTTTGCACAAAAACCCAGTCTATATTTAGGACGAAAAAGGTAGATTCATCATTCTTGGTAAGGTTACACTGAAGCATTCAAAATAGCTCATGCACGTTTAACGTGCCTATGTTTGTTGTTGTTGCTGTTTTTTTTTTTAAATAAAAATAAATAACGATTTAGAGGTAGCTCATCCACTAGGTGGTTCTGCGTCTACCTGATTCGTGGTCGAATTGGAATTTGGAAAATGTTGGTTTTTGAGGAAAGGGGAAAACTGGAGTACCGGAAGAAAAACCTCTCGGAGCAAAGGAGAGAAACAACAACAAACTCAACCCACATATGGCGTCGATGCCGGGATATGAACCCGGGCCACATTGGTGGGAGGAGAGTGCTCTCACCACTGGGCCATCCTTGACCCCCCCGCCGCAAGTAGGATTATTTGGTACTACTTACCAAAATTATGATCTGTGTGAGCGAACCAGTTGCTAAGTAAAGCCGATTAATGCGAACACACATTGATGAAGGAGTCTGTAAAATTCCAGACTCCTTTCCTTATCATAGAACCACTGTGACCGACACCAACTCCTCTGAGCTAGAAGTAGAAAGAGACATCCAAGCTGCCACAAACGCATTTGGTGCCCTGCTACCAAAATTAGAAATGTACAATGCCGCTGTGCCCCCGTCCCAACTCAATGCAACTGAATGGTCATCAAGAAGCTGACAAGTTCACTATTACATTATCTACTAAATTCTCGGCATGGATGGCAGGATGGAATTCCTGATGTAGAAGTGCTCAGGAGGGCTGACTCTTCACTCTGTTACTATGGAAGCTCCCATTACCTCATATCACCTCTTCTCAGCTTCGCTGGGGAGGAAATGTCAACTGAATAAATAACTTAGTCCCCCAAGAGCAGTAATTTATGGTAATCTGTGTCGGGAAAGAGAACACATGATGGCCAGCCGAGAAACTGCCTTTTAAAGATATATTCAATGACGTATAAAAAAGTAAATTCGTTTAAGTGGCTTCGCGCCGTGAAGAAGTCAGTCTGATTGCAGCAATTGAAGGGAAGCGACGGAAGAATTATCAAACGGTAAACGAAAGGAGACTGTTCAACAGTCCACATAAACAACATACGTGCTCATTGCCATTATTTGTCATAGCTAACGACCCTATACAGTAAAATAATCATTAGAGACGATGGACACCCAATACACTTTGCTGATGTGAATGTAATTGCTGACTTCAGTTGGCAGTGTTAATTACCCAATAATCTGGAAAATGTTTGTAGAACAGTTAAAATTGATCGTCTGCCGGCAGAGGTCTCTCTCCTTGAAGGAGAGAGACCTCTGCTGACCCCCGACGCGTTTCCTATCACGCATGCTGTAGGGTTTCCTTAGAAAGCAGCAACGTTTTAGTCACGTGGAGACACAGCTTACGATGTGAATTCAGAAATTTCCAGGATTTCCAGCATCTCAACCGGGCATGCGTCATATTTATGAATTGAATGTTTTTATTTTTGGATATTGTTTTGTCCTTTGTATTTAGGTTTAAAATTTGTTGTTTTGAACGTAGTCTATTAAGCAATTTGCTTAACTTGATCAGCCTTAACTGTTTTGAGCTATTTGCGGTTTCCTACTTTTATCACACTAGTTTAAAAGAAATGAGATAAATCGTTGTTGTTATTTTAATGTTTAATTCTTGTTCTCATGGTGATTTTAATTTGTTGTTTTTTCCTTTTCTTATGGAAACCTTTACAGCAACAATGCAAGATCTACGTGGAGCAAACATGCAATCGCCGTTACCAGCTGGTGAACTTCAGGGACAAAACGAACAAAGGCGACAGAGGAAGGTGCAGCAACGCGAAGAAAACTCACAGAAGCAGTTGACAGAGATGCCACGACAGCAGGAAAACTTGCAAAGGCAGTTACAGGAAATGCAGCAACGCGAAGAAAACTCACAAAGGCAGTTGAGAGAGATGCAGCAACGAGAAGGAAATTCACAAAGGCAGTTGACAGAGACGCAGCGACAGCAGGAAGACTTGCAAAGGCAGTTACAGGAAATGCAGCAACGCGAAGAAAACTCGCAAAGGCAGTTGAGAGAGATTCAACGATGCGAACAAAACTCACAAAGGAACTTAAGAGAGGTTCAGCAACGCGAAGAAAATTCGCAAAGGCGGTTGACTGAAATGCGGCAACGATTAGAGAACTCCCAGCAACAGGTGTCCACCTTAGAGAGACAACTGAGAGGCAAAGATCAGGAAGTAAATGAACTAGAGTTAAGTCTTTCATTAGCCCAGCAAACAATAAATGAACAACGCCGACAGGAAACATGCGACTGGGTCATTTCCCGCAATGAAATTTTTATGACAGAGAATTGCCTAGGGAGGGGAGGCTGGGGAAGTGTCAATGAAGGCACCTACTGTGGCTGTACTGTAGCAGTGAAGCAAATCCATGACCTGATTCTGTCTCCTCACAACAGGCTTCTATTTGAAAGAGAAATGAATATTGCTTCGGCTTGCCGCCATCCCTGTTTGCTGCAGTTTATTGGCGCCACAAATGACGAGGGAACTCCTCTGTTTGTGACCGAGCTCATGGAGATGAGCTTGCGAGCTTTATTGGCACAGCGGCAACTTTCCGAAACAGAAATAACTGTAATTTCTTTGGATGTAGCTCGTGCGCTGAACTACCTTCATCAGAAGAAACCACATCCCATCATTCACCGGGACGTTAGCAGTGCCAATGTGTTGCTATGGCGACAAGGTGATCAATGGAGAGGCAAAGTGTCAGATTACGGCACGGCTAATTTCATGCAGCAGACCATGACAGTCGCTCCTGGAGCTATGATTTATAGCTCACCTGAAGCATTAACACCAAACCAAACAGTGAAGGTTGGTTATTACTGATTTTAGGGCCCAGCTTTCAGTTTTATAAGCATATAACACGGTGTGTGCGAGCGTGACCTGCGGAGTTTGAGTGAACGTTTTTGAGGCGCAATGTCACTGAGCCATTCAGAAAGTACTTTATGTTTAGAAGGTTCTTCAGTTGAAATCGTCTCTTAGCATCAGAGCAAGAAAGGTGGATCAAAATGTAGATTTCTCAAACGTAAACTCAATTTTCCTTCCTAATTTTTTTAGGTGGATGTTTATAGCTGTGGTGTCTTATTGTGCGAAATGTGCATTCGGGAACTCCCAAATCCTGAAAAGCGTGCTGAGCAAGTTTTGTTGATGACGAGCCGCGTGTTAAGAAGCCTGGTACGGCGATGCCTGCAGACAGACCCTGAAGCGAGACCAACCATGCAGGGGATAATCGATGAATTATCCGGAGCTGTGTAACGTCTATTAAATATGTTGTGAAAATGTTTGTTGTTAATAGATTCAGTGAATTGTAAATTGCGGGAAGTTGTGTCCAATCGTTTCTCGTGACAAAGTAGCTAACAGAAGTGTTACTAGAAAAACAGACTGGAGTCATGAGTTCCCTATGCCGGTAATTGGTAACTTATTCATAAACAGGGCTTAATTCAATTTCTATGTACTTCCTTTATATGACGTAGGGTGTAGACGTAAAATTGACGGAAGATACCGGCAGATGTGTCGCCTATATGAAAATTCAGTTTAGGATATACCGTTGAATCCGTCGTTTGTAATAAAAGTTTCCTACCCAAAAGGTAACTTACCTTTAAAATATAATTTACTTAAATTTGTACAGTTGTAGTTATCTGCTTATGAAGTAGACTATGTTGAAATAGACAACATCGAGAAGAGAAACAATTATTATATCAGTATATGGCTTATGAAACCTTTTACGATATACGATTAAATCGGCGAAGTGGCTAGCTCATTAAGTGATTATAATTAGAGTCTCCTATCCAATAGGTACCTTACTTGTAGAAAGGAATATACCATAATTCATAAGTTCCTTACTTATGAAGTAGGTCATGGAAATGAAATAGACAATGTTAAATTGACAATATTGAGTGAAGACACAAGTATGAATATGGCTCATGAAATGTGAAGGATATACACTGTAAGATTAATCCTGCATACATATACACGTGGATGCTGGCGCATATGACGAAATTTACCATCACGTGGTCTGAAATGGGAAAACAAAACATACAAGCTAAAAAGGTCTATTGTAATCATTAGTTGTAACATCCATCAGGAGCAATCGTATCTTGCATTGTAACTTCAAATCATAAGTGTTTCACTTGTATCTGAACTAATCAGTGATCGAGAATCGATCGAAACATGGCGTGCTCTCTAAAATCAGTGAGGTAGTTGTTCATTTTGTACGGACCCCAGGGTGGTTATTAATTTCAAACACGTTGAGGGGGAGCTTAATAGAGACGGAATAAGCCCAAACACAAGAACTTGGTATTCATAAAGCCGAGGATCAAAAACAAATCGGAAGTTCCAACATGTGAATAAATCATTCAGGATCAGTCCAAATAAAGGTTTAAGTCGAGATTGATTAATTAGATTAGTTAAGAATGAAAAGGGGAGGGGAGGGAGGCTTAAAAGAGAGGGGATCATTAACTTTCTCCCCTTGAATAGGGGGGGGGGGGTATTTTAGAGAGGGGGCTTTACCGTAGTAAAATGATGTACAAGTGATAAGAGGACAAATGACCCCAAATGTGCGGAAATGTGATAGAGAGCTTTCATTAAACGTGTTCATTTTTTAATATTTGCTAGGCAATAGGAATTAAACCTATGGGATCTCATTTAGAGGTTTTATGGGCACATTTTTCTGTACATACATCAAACTTTAATTGGTTCTTAAAAATATTCTCCTTAATGAACAGTGGGTCCACACTGCTCGGGTGGGACGACTCTCCTACGAATGTGATGAGGGCGCTCTTCAGTAAATTACAATTAGGTTCCTTAGATATAAATCTAAGTATGGCTTGGGTATACAGTGGAACCCCGCCCTATGGCCAGCTCGGTAATACGGTCACTTCGTTATTACAGGTATATGTGGACTGTGGACTATGGAACTGGAAACTCCCTGATAACTGGAAGTAATTTTTCTTCCCCCTGTTTATTAGGTTCCAGTCTCTTTCTAGATGTTTAAATTTGACTGTAATCTTTTTAACCGTCACTATTGAAGATTTATGTTGTTACATACGAAACGTCAAGTCTTGAAAATCTTAGTTTATTGCAACACGTTGTTTCATCATGTTTGTTACCGCAGTTTGTGTTCTGTTTTTTACTGAAGTTGAAATGACCAAAGAATAAGATTGTTTACGGTATGGAAGTGTCATTATTTGGTATCCCAGCAAACAGAGCTCACCCAAAGCGAGACTTCGCCAACAGCAATAACTGAGTTAATAATTTCTTTCTAAAGGAGCATGAAGCATTAATATTGTAATTGTATATTGACTTCTGTTCTCTCTGTTTGATGCCAACAGTATAACTAAAGAAACCACAAGTCCAAGGATATAAAAACAAGCATTTTTCTTTATTTACGAATATATATTTATAGTTCTGAATGTCTCACAAATGTCACTTAACATAGAAATGTCCTTTTTGCAAAACGTTAAATTTCCCCAATAGCCTGGTAATGCTACGATTTTTGTAATCTGCCTCAGAAATTAGCCTTCCTCTTTCTAGGTTGTTTTGGTCGCCATGGTTTCGGTTGAGCTGCTCTTTCGCGTGCAAACTGTTCTTCTTGACGTAATCGTTCACGGAGCTCTTCCTCCAACTGGCACTGATATTCACAATATAATCTGTAAGATATAAAAGCAAACCACTTTCATGAGAGTATAACTTTCTGGCTCTAGCAAGAGAGAATATAGACCCTTTCTACTCTATTAGTCTGGTAGCCAATTCAAAGGAGTGTCGATCAGGGCTGGAATTGAGTTGGTGTTTCTTGATGTCGCAGAAGTTTTTATTTGTTAGTAGTTTCAGTTGTGGTGTGTGTCAAGAAGTGTGGATATTGTTGATTGTATTCGACCCCTTGGTAAGTTTTTAGTTTGGAGCTTACATATCACATATGCAACTGGATAAGACTAGAAAGAGATTGAGCGATAGTAAGAAATTCTTGATACACATGCACAACCAATAAAACACAAACACGGTACAGACGAACAACAGGTTTAAAAATTACTTCACAAACTGAGAGGTCTACTCACCTCCTTTTATTCCTACAATAACTCCGTGACTTGCAAAAGTTATTTTTACCGAGAAAAGTCAAGAAACACATTGCGAGAAGCACGGACCGGTTTATCAGTCAGGCCCGTAGGAACGAATTTGAAAGTGAGAGGGCACGACTGTTGACTACCGCGGTCAAACGTCTAAATCGTTATTTTTGTTTTTATTGCTGGGATTTCATTTACCAGTTAGAGAAAAATGGGCAAAGATGTATAAATCAGTTAGTCAACATAACTATCTCTCCATTTTTCTCAAAATTTTGAGCCTTTTTCGCTGAAAACGCTTCGCGCTAAAAGAGAATCATGTTTGAAAATGGCGCCGATAATAACGTCAGCATCAGTTTTCAATCACTTAGAACTTTTTTAGTAAACTTTTAAAAAGTTTAGTGAACTAACAGGATGTTGGAAATACCTTAAACTTTCGATAGTGAAAGTAGCAACCTTAGCTTTGAAGTATTTCGTTTAACTTTTGCAAATTTCACTCGTTTGACCGCTGTGAACGACTTTTGTGGGCTGATACCCCTTCCCCCCACCCCGCCAAATCTTGAAAGTCTAAACAGTCAAACCCCGTTAACACGGACACTGAGGGGGTCATAGGAAGTGTCCGTATTAGCGGTGTGACCGTATAAGGCCGATTGAATTTAGGGAAAATGTAGGGGCTTTCTTTCCCCCGGGGACAAAGCAAACTGTCCGTAATAACGAGTTGCCCGTATCAAGCGAGTGTCCGTAAAGCGGGGTGGTCAACTTCCGAAAAGATGAAAAGTGTCCAAATTTTGACAACCTGTTAGAGTTTCCGGTGTAAAAGTCGTTTGCAACATCAATTAGTTGTCTGCGTCTTCCTTGTATACTGACATCAGCATAAGTTTGTTTATCCTTTTTTGCGTCATGGTAGACCTAAGGTAATTCTTGATTCCTCTTAAGGAACAGTAAGACCTCTCACTCAAAGCATTTGTGACAGGCATTACTAACATAAGTTTCACTAAAATTGTTGCAGTCTCACTGAATGAAACAATGCCATTTTCATTAAGAATTCTATTTTGGATGACACAGAAGCTATGGAACTTCCTTAAGCATGCATTTTCAAAGTAGTAAGCTGCGTTTCAAGTCGTGTCCTGCTTATATCTGATCCATAAAAGTTGCAGGTTGATAATGACTGACTTGGGAAATGGCCTCCTGAAACTGTCTTGAATTGCAAGTTTTCGAGATTCGTATAGATTTCAGGGGCGTAGCGTGAGATTTTGAAGGTACCACGCAAAGGGAAAAAAAGTTAGAAGTCCGAAGGCGCTCCAAAGTGGAGGGGTGGGGGGGATTACCGTCTGGGGGTATGCTCCCCAAAAACATTTTAAATTTTGAGGCTCGGAAATGCCATTTCCTGCGTTATCCACAGGACATTATAATAAATACGAAAGAAAAGAACAAATGGTTAGAATATATTTTACCCATCTCTAATGCTGTCGTTAAGGTACAGTGTTTACGTAAAAAACGTAAAACAGTGACATAATCAAGGAAAGTACAAGCAAAGCGCGAGATAGCCTGCCTGTATGACAGCCGCCTCTCTTCGTCTCTATTGCGAAACGTCTCTAGTGATTCGCTGGCTAAGGGCGAGGCGTTTACCCTTCAGACGGGCAAAGGACACAAATATATGGCGCAAAATTTATCAGTCACCCTTGTTTAACGATAAAAATGCTTTCAGGAAATGAGTATATAGATAAAAAAAAATTATTTTCCAGATTTCAGCTGTACGCACCGGCGTATGTGCGTATATGAACGCTACGCTCGTGGATTTTTAGCCTGCGTAGCAAGCGTTTCCAATCGAAGTATTGCCCGAAAGTTAGGGCGGGAGCAAAAAAAAAAGGTGGAACTCCTTTTTTTTGCTCTCTTCCAAACTTTCTCGACGGACTGCTGGATTTTTTAACCTGGCTGATCAATCTTACAATCTAGACTTGATCCCATTCTCTAACAAGTCCAAAGCTTCAAAATATAACATCTGTTATAGTCTTGTTCAGTTCCGAGAAAAATGTGTGTCAGATTGTCCTCTATCAATGCCCTTTTCTAGCAATACAGGATTTAAACTGACTTGAGAGGTTAAAAAATTAGCCCTAACAACATATTTTTTAAAATCGAAAGGGGAATTGCGTTGTGTTATTCACCAGGAGCCCATAGACCTTTATTAACTCAGTATTTCCGACGGTAAAGTGGTAGTCTCCTTTTGTCTTTAATTTTCGCTCAAGAAGTGTGTGTGTGTGTGTGGGGGGGGGGGGGGGGGGCGCGCCCCCCCCCCCCCCCCCCCCACCCCCCCCCCCCCCTCCTCTCCCTACCCCCCCCCCACTCCTACGGCCCTGTATCTAATGGGCGTGCGATAACCAGATCTGTTCATTTCTTTTTTTTTCGTATTAAGGCATCGTTATCTCAGAAATGTTTCCACTGAAATATAACAACTTTCGGAAGTATCTTATTTTAAAGTAAAACCGAAAATCGCTTCTTAATTAAACAACAAACAAACAAAACGAAGATCAGTTTCGTCTGTCACAAAATGATCGATTGATGCATATTTCCTACGACGAAATATGTTGGGAGAGATTTAAAACCCTCCTTTTTAGAATTAGGAGCTGTAAAGTGATCGGAATTTGTTAGATGTGAGGGAGAGTGCATCAAAGTACATACAATTTGTAAGATTGCGAGCCTTTTTTGCGAGTTTGATTTGATCTGATCAAGCGCACGGGTTGCTACACCCTTGTTCCACAACTTTGCAGTAAACCTCTGTGATTCAGCTAGGCGTCTGGCAGCTTTCTTTGTGCAAAATAAAGTTTCCTAAGTAAAAAAAGGTTCCAATATCAGTGTCCTTCTGCTGCAGTGCAAGCCTGTTCAGTTCTTTGGCATAAGTTTCCTCATTAGAATACCTTCCCAGTGCGGTAAAAATTCCATCCTCCTCACTTTCAAGCTAAGCCTCGTAACGGTATTATGATTTTCAGGAACTGTTTTATGTAAAGCCATACGATAGTATACCATAGAAGCAAGCTCTAGGGCGGATGAGGCCAAATTTTATCCAAAATGTCTACTAAAACATATTGGTCAGTATCGCCAAGAAACACAACGTCATCGTTTTCTTGTCCTCTTGATGAACAGTTTTCAGGGTACAAACCAGAGAAGGACAGGGAAGTAAATTTTGGAGGTTCAGATGATTCATCTTTACCTAGTTCTTCACTGTCAGAATGACCGATAAATACCACGATTGGTTCATGGCGTTTATTTGTTCTATTTTCCATGATATCATTCACCTCCCTTTCAGCCTTGCCAGACGACGCGGTAACATAAATTTCTCTGTTCTCTTGGCTTGTAGCTGGCAGGGTTGTGTTAACTTTACCGTCCTCTGCTGTGACATTATCAGACTTCTTGGACAAAGACTTACTGTCAGGCGTGCTGTAAGTCAGTGTCATCAGCAGATCGAATACTGCAAGCCACACGGCAAGTTGTCTGATCCTTATAATTAAAGTTCAAAATGAACATGCTGTGGGGGGAGGGGAGGGGGTAAACAAGATGCATTATGGTCTATGTGAAAATGGTTAATAAACGAAAGTTTACGTATATTATTGAAGTCCGACTTAACGCTTCTGCAGCGTCTTGTTTAAAGTGCAATCCAGTCCTACAAATCTGGAAAGGCGCTTAGAATCTCAAAAATTGGGTTACATTTTTGCTATTTTAGCCTTAATGGTAACTATAATAACCCTTGGCCGCAATTAATCGGCCTTTTAGCAACCTTGTTTTCTGCATCAATAGGAGACTAGCGTAATTTCAACTGTGAACGCTTACTGTCTAATACAACTTGGTAGTGAATTTTTTGGGTAAAAATACGTTCCTTAAATAAAAATATATGTATGCAGCTTCTAATTTCCTTACGCTGACACGAAAAGCTGTCCAGTTACAGCAATCGCACCGAAATCACCGTTCGTATTTGTGAACAGGAGCCCTATCCGGTATGATTTTCGTGCCGGCGCAAAAGCTATACGGTATTAATAGTAATGTGGACATTAAAGCCAAACTTACGCCGTCTGCCGGACAAGTAGAATCCGATGCACTAACTGTCCTGCGAGTAAATGCGTCTGACTTTATGTCCCTTGGCCACTCGATACCAATATATAGCCATTTCAAAACCTACTTCACGGCGCTTAAGAGACTGTTCCATGCTGATGCGCATGCCAACCATGTGGAGTTGTTTCCTGCCGCATCTCGCTGGATGATTACTTGTTTGGCCGCGGTTGGATTTTTCCATGAAGTGTTGATCATGATTGAAGAGTCAGCTTGTGGTTGGTTTGCATCAACTATTCCATTTGTTGTTCCTCGTCCATTTCCGTCTGTAGAAAAGAGAGAAAAACCGTCGTTGATTTATATTCGCCTAAAAAAACAGCCTACCTTTTGCATTTCCTCTCGAAATATGATGTCTGTCTCTGAGTGCGAAACACTGGCAACGTTTGCTTTTGTTTCTATATTGCATTTATTTACTTTGTTATAAATTTACTTCATTTGTAAACGTTTTTCCAGGCAAATAGGCTGTTGTAAAACTGCTGATTTTGTTAACGGAGACAAGCAAGCAAGCAAGCATGTTTTGTCACGGAGACAAGCATGTAAGTCGACGACAGGTGGATTTCGATTTAAGCGCTCTTGCTTCCAAAGCCTTCAACAACAGTAAAGCGTCGATAGAACGGTTCTTCAGCGACGTTGACTCCTGCATTTGAAGGCAATTAAAAGCGCATAAATATTTTAAATTCATTTAAACCACTCAAATGTGGCTGATCGGCATAAACCGTACGAAAGTGTGTGCTAATACTTAAATTGAGCCTTAAAATCCCACGGCTACAACAAGATTACAACAAAGCTATCTAAAAGGCTTTGAAAAGTGTCTTAAACTTTGTGGAAACAAATATCGGAACTTGACGTCGTAAGTAACTTCGATTGCGCGCGCCGGAATCGCTTCTGATCCTTAGAAACAAGTAACCAAGGAAACAAAATCATCCAAACAAATAACAGTTTTTTTAACTGGTTGAGGGCAAGAAGAGAAAATTTGACGACAACCAGATAAATTCAATCCTAAACAAATTAAAGAAGCTCTAACACTTTTGAATGAAAATTTGGCGCAGTAGTTTGATAACTTAATGGAAAAAGCAAAGTTAGTCTGGAAAAATAACGATTTTCGCGCGTGCCCTGAACTTTTGCTACAAGCTTACGCCATCGAGGAAAACAACGCGAAGAGAACAGATGTGAAAATAACACAAGTTTCACCTTCCTCGATGAAATTTCCCGAAGCAGTCGAAGTTCCTAACATTGTTATAGAAGGTAGATTAAAAACGTTTTCATTTTGTCGAGAATGACTTTTCTCTTTCCAAAGCGTAACACGACTAAACTTGTTTAGCGACGTGGAACGATAAAAACCCGACGTCATAAAGACAAAATAGAATGATTTCCTGCGCGCGTTAAGTTTATGGAACACTTCTTTATCCTCCCATATATTGCATTACATTGACATCAATTGCAACTATTCATTTTGTTACTAACAATGACACGTGAAACGTTACTCTAAAGGCTACATAGACTATTTCTCCGGATTCATCAAGAATATGGAAACTTCAGACTACTGGATTCGTTATATCGTTTACATGCACATCCCCGACGCGGGGCACTGCCTGACCTTATTTGGCCCTGTAAGTGGGTTTGTACCGCTGAACAGTGTATGGTTTTCTTTCACAATCTTGAGTGTTAAACAAGGTATACATAAATTATCGTTCTTGAAAGGAGTGTCTTTTTGGACCGGAAGCCTTTCCAAAGAATTAATGCGACGGTTGGCGATGAGTTCAGTCTATGTACTACCAACAATTTTTATTCCAAGACAACTAATTTCATAATGTTATTTTGGAAAATATTTTTATTCTGTATGCAAGAAAAAGGACGAATTAGAGTCATAAAGTAGGGTCTCTTTTGTTAAACAGGGTTGCAAAATGAACGATTTTTGCCTTTAACCGGGGTCAAGGTTTGAAGGCGCGCCTCGGCGGCACACCTCTACCAAAACGTCCCTTGAGTACCTCACGGAACAGAGTGTCTCAATGGGGCGGTAGCTTTGACGATTGACTGTTAATTTCAACTAATTTTTATGAGTGACGGTCAAATTTTAAATAAAAAAATAAAGAAAAGATAAAGAAAGAAAGAAGTAATGATTTGGAGGAAGCACATCCACAAAATGGTTCTTCATCTGGCCTGATTCCTAGTCGAATTGGAATTTGAAAATGTTGGTTTTTGAGGAGAGGGGAAAACCGGAGTAATCAGAGAAAAACCTCCCGGGCAAAGGAGAGAATCAACAACAAACTCAACCCATATATGGCGTCGACGCCTGGATTTGAACCTGGGCCACATTGGTGGGCGCTAGGAGGCGAGCACTGTCACCACTGCGCCATCTCTTGATTCGCAAAACCAAAAACTTTCGACGATTATTGAGAATCGTTATTGAGTCAAAAAGTTAAATCAATGAATCAGCAGCCATGAATGGCACTTGATTTCAAGATCCAATAGGATTTATCAACTTTAGCATTTCCCCCGAATTTGTGCCTCTGTTAATGGATTTTTGTATCATTACGTGGGATAAAACAAGAATTATACGCTAAAAGCTTTCAGGTAAATGACATACGTGAAAACCTATCTCCCCACGTTGAAAACGCACGTCGTAAACCTCAAACGTGACGCGAAAGACTTTTCACGTGACCTCCAGCGGTTAGAGGTTCGCGGTAAACTCGGATCTAAAACTCCCTAATGTCTGTTTTTAGACACCCCTTATGTGCCTTGCAATAAAGAATGCAACAGAAAAAGGTTTCTCTTAGACACCTTTCCAGTGCATACAACTTTTATCGGTATAGAAGTGACGACGTTTTTACTTTGACTCTCGCGGCAAAAACAATATTTTACTCACTCACTGCGCTCGTTCGTAAAATATTGTTTTGCCACTCGAAAATAAAATTCATATCTTCGCGCCACCGTGTAATATCCTCTATTTATACTTTGTTTCAACAAACTATAAATATTATCGAGAGCTTCGCTCTTAGTCCTCGCTTAATCTATATATTTTAAAAACTTAACAGGTTACCTGTCTGACACTTGAAATGATCAGATGAATAATTAATTGTATATGGCTGACACTGCCAGCGGGCAAGGTGAGGCAAATCCTGCGTTCTGATTGGCTGCCCGAGCTGGAAAGATGGACTTGTCTTTCCCGACCAGACGTTCTCCTACAACCTTTTCTTTTTGGCCGTGTAATAAATCGTTTATTGACCAACCTTGTTCGGTCAAGATGACAGGATATGCAGTGGCAGATCCAGATCTTCAGATAATGGGGGGGGGGGGGGGGGGACAACCCCACATTTTGAAAAGAGGGGGGGGGGGCCCAAAAAAAAAATTTCGCCCCCCCGGGGGCAATTTTTTTTTCAAACAAAGGGGGGGCGCGCGAGGGAGAGGGGCGGGAGGGGGAGGAGAGTGGAGATGGGGGGTCGCGGCGGCGTTAAACAAAATGGGGGGGGGGGGGGGGGGTCAGTCATCCAGACTTTGAGATAAGGAGGGGCGGTCTCCAAAAACAAATTTTCCGGCCCTTCGGGCATCATTTTTCTCTAAACATAAGGGGGGGCCGGGCCTCCCGGCCCCTTCCCTGGATCCGCCGCTGATATGGGCCTAGTTCTTTTTGCGTTTTTATAAATGTCGACTTTATCTCGCTCCATAAAAACGCGAAGACAAACATGACCTATATGCAGCAGTCTTGACCGCTCAAGATTGGTTAATAAAACAGATTTAAACATTTATCGGTCGGAGCAGAACCATAATGAATTTAATTATACACAATAGCAAAAAAAAAATTAGAGCAGAGCTGATACGGTCCACCGATAAGAAACAAAAAGATAAAGGTATAAAGACTATAAATACTTTCATACATTCTCGCAAGAATGTCCATAATCACATAATTGTTCCGAAGGATAGCCCGGTTCCAGGCGTTCAGATTGCGAGGACGGCGCAAAAAGGTTCGCGCCGCACTCCATTATCTGAACTCCTGGAACGGGCTATCTGAAGGAAGGTAGAAGAGTCATTAGAGATCAGCAAGAGGTTGCAGAAGTATTGAATTATTTCTTTTCAAATTGTCCTTTAAATAACAAGGTTTTTGTGAACATCCACCTGATCTCTCGTGCATATTACACAATCTGATGGGTAGAGAGGAACTAGGAGAGATATCTATAAAGCCTTATAGTTCAGTTATTGCTCAGATTCGTGGTATTTCTTCAGTACGCAGGCAGTTGATAAATAAGAGAAGGTTAGGATATCTATAGGAAATTCAGAGACATTTATGTACGTTGTTAGCTAGGTTTTCTTTTCTTTTCGTTTTACTTTTAACCCAACAAGTAATTCGAAGAAG